GCAGTGCGGGTAACGCGCCGCTGCATCCGAAGCACAGCTCCTGCGTTATGGTGGGAGCTCATGTTCATCGACAGATCTGATGGTGATTCTGGAGGGCGACTAGTTTGGAGTCATCTGGAACGCCATGTGTTCTGGATCCGTGAAGCCTCAAGTGCATCTTTGCCCACTTCAATCCTGCCCTAAGCCCACTTCAAGAAGAACCCTAAGCCCTGAACATTTCAGGGCTAGGGCTTCGGGGTTCGGAGTTGAAGAGCTGTCCAGCAAGAACTTTGCATGCAGGAGCGTCGCCAGCTGCAACTCTGCCAAGGGATCAGGTTGCCTCAGTTCCAACGTGTGCGGGGTCTGCCCCAAAGCCCGCAAACCCGACTGCGAGGAGTGGGGGAAAGGGGAAGGGGGAGGGGAGAGAAGTTTCGGCCCTCGCGGCCTCAGACCCTAAACTGCCGGAACTGTGTTTGTGTCCCAACCGCAAAAGCCCCAAGCTCTCCTAGGCCCTTGTGAACTTGTCTGGGTGCTCCTGTTGTTGCCCTAAACCTGACTTTCTGCCTTGCATTCTCGTGGCTCTGGCTTGACCAGGGCATACTGCAACTTCTCGTAGACCGCCTGCCAGAGCAGCTGAGTTCGGCTTAGGGCTCCCCGAGAAGATTCGATCAGCTTAACGACGCGGGGGGGGGGGGAGGCATCGGACCGGAGAGTACTCTCTCATACTCCCAAAGCAATCCGAAGGTCATTCACATAAGCATTACCCATGTATGGCCAAACCGAGTATCCAACACAAGCCCCTAAACCCAAAAAAAGAACCGCGCGTCAAGGACCTTAAGCTTCCTCAACCCCCCAAGCGCCTGGGAAAGCCCACGTTTGCAGGAAGCCTGAGAGTACTTGCGACCACTTGCGCGTCGCAGGGGCTTTAGGCATTTCGAGTTTTGGCGCGCTAGGGGGGCGGGTGACGATGTGGGGGATTTGGCATATCGAGGCTTTGGATGTCGGGGGCTTTTGTCCGATTAGGATGTTTGGAGAACGAAGAATTGCCCTTAAACTTGAAGCTCGTCTTCCCTGAACCTTGTTGCAGAATTTGTTCTGCTCGCCGCCAGAAGTTGCTGCAGGAGGGCAATTCATCCATGGCTATCCATGGTTATCCCGGTTGTCCCTGGTTATCCATGGTTTCGCTTCGGGACGACGTCGGACGGGCGGCGGTTTCCCCCGAAGCATCGAGAAAGCAGACGATGCGGCCAGGAGACTGACATTGCAGCGCCCACGCAAACAGCAGACCTCAGACCCGGGAATCAGTGAAGGGCAGCACCTTACGAGGGTTCTCTTCGGGCTGGGGTGTCGGAGCTCATGAGCGGAACCTTAGTCTGAACCATCTAGAAAACAAGGAAACCACGATACAATTGCAGCACTGACTCTGGCTTTCCTTTTCATATTATAATACAGGGGCGTCAAGAATTAGAACAGGGTTTTGAGGGGTATTGTAGCATATTGATGGCCATATCTATATAGGGACCATAAGGGAAGACTAGCAGAAAGCAAGCCGAGCCCAAGCACGAGGTTTGCGGCGTTGCGGCGGCGCAGAGCTGAGAGCGAGGCAGAAGCCTCGCCGAGATCGAGAAGGCGGAGCTGGAGGATATGGGCCTGTCCTGCAGCTAGCCAAATACCCTAGAAATGTAGAACCCTCGAACCCTAGAACCCTCGAACCCTCGAAACCTCGAACCCTAGAACCCCTAAAACCCTAGAACCCCAAAACCCGAAAACCCCTGCCAAGCTGGAACATGGGGGCTGGGGGGCATCACAGCTTGGGATCCATGCAACCTGAGAGCACCACACGCGTCGACGCCTGAAACCGTGCTTATAAGACAAACGGGGCGCTTCTTACCAAATTCCACATTTATATTGTTTCTCATATTTATTTTATATCCAAAGAATTTACAATCAAAAAAACTATATCGAACCCTGGTCGGGTGACCTTGCCACTCTCGTGACGCACCGCCAACAAGGCATCCAGGAGACCTCTTCGCGAGGGAATGAAGAGGCTAGGATGGGGAGCTGCGTCTCGGATGGTTGGGTAGGTGGATTTTCGTGGTCAGCATGGTTGGATTTTGTTGGAGGGCCCTGAAGTTGTGGGGCTTCAATTTAGGGCGGTTTGGGTTCTCATTAGTTCTGATTGCCCTGTTCCCGAGCTGGGCTCTCCGTCCCAGGGGTGCGACGATGCATTCAGCAAGTAAGAGCGCGCACGGGGATGTTGGATCAAGTTGAATTTTGTGAGGACTTGGGGATTTATGCGCGCACACAAGAACGTAAGCCCTGAGTCCTGAAGCCAAGACGCTCAACCACAAACCCTGAGTCAAGCACCTGTCTCAAAGGGCCTCCCTGTCCTCAGCCGGATCAGCATCCCGAGCTTACGGTCAGATATGTCCTACATCCGAAAACCTAAAGCCTAACCCCCACTTTGGAGGCCAAAGCGCAGGCCCTAATCCCTGAGAAGAACCGGTGCCCAGGCCCGGTGCCTGATGCGAGCTCCAGCGGGCTCGTGAAGAGCAAATCGTCGCATGCCGCACAGGGAAAGCTCACTCCTTTTCAGGGCTTAGGGTCTAGGAGTCTAAGGGTTAGAGAAGGTTTGGAAAAAAAAACGGGAACATCGTTTCCCCCTTTGTTTAGTCATTGGTTCTTTCGACATCCTGAAGGTTTTTAGCCTTCCATGGCTTCCACCCACCGTAAATTTCAGAGGGACGCCTTCGAAAGCATGTGGAGAGTCCACAGGGTGCAGCAGAGGGAAACCAGTTCTCGGGGACCTCTGTAGAGGCCTGAAGCCCTGCACTCAAACTCTGAGAAACAAAACAAAAAGGGAACACATCGGCCTTCCAATGCCTTCCATACCCCTATAGAACTAGGCACTGCTGGACAACCAGGCCGGTCGTGGGCTTTCCGGGCTCTGGCGACAACCGCGTCACTGGACTGTATCCGGCCACGCATGGGGAAACCCTGAGACTCCGAAGGATCTGAAGGGGTCCAAAAGCGACACTTCACTAAGCTCCATGCCGGGCCTGGTGTGTCCCAAACACGCAGTCGGTTGCGTGGCGACACCTTATCTTGTAGGGGTCAAGGTTTTGTTTACACCAAGAGCTCTTTCCCTCTCCTATCTCTATCCTTTATTGCTGTTCTTCTGCCGGGGCTGAGGAGGAAGAGGAGAGCCACCTCCCTCCCCTCTCCCCTTGCCCGCGCCAGGCGTGTCAGCTTGATTTGGGCACGGGATGGATGTTCTGAGGTCTTCGGTGCTTGCATTGCCTGGGTCATGCTCATCCTCTGCAATGACCACGATGTGGGTTGCTCTCCTCTGCCCTCTGCAGAGACCACCAACAACCCCCCCCCTCCCCCCCTTACGAAGACGTCCCCAATCCGCCGGCTATGGTCTTTCATCAACCTGCCACTCTTGAACCTAATCTACACATGTACTCTGTCTCGAATCCCCCCCCTACCCGTTCACGGTGTTGTCAATATAGGGTGAATGTCGGCAGCCATGGGCAGCCCTGGGCTGGCTCATCTGTTACACTGCTGGCTTTTTCCGACACCGGGGTAGCCTCTTCGGAAGATGGCTGTGGCTCGGTGCCGTCTAGTTTCATTTGCTGCCTCTTTGTCCCCCGTCCAATCGCTCCCTTCCCACTTTGATCCCCTCTCAGCTCTCCTGGCTAATCGTGTACAAGAACAGACATTTTCCGAACGCTTCCAATCCTCCGCGACCGGGCTGCCCAAAAGCACAACCCGGTCCGAGGACATTTTGAGCAAGCTGCCGCGCAGACCGACTCGCAGGCTGTTCCGGCAGCATCGCCTCACGTCATCCCACAACTCAAAGGCTTTTCAGGGTTCGGAGAATGTGCAAGCATTTTAGGCGGGTAAAAGAAATGGGAGTTTCGGAACTTCGTCGAGGCTTTTTGGGGGGGCTCTCTGCTCGGCCTGCCGAGCCTTCGAGGTCTAATGTTCGTTCTTTCGAAGTACGGTGGGTGGGGTCGGGCGGCACCCCCCAAGAGGTGCCCTGAAGTTCACACCTGCATAACTCGCTGCCCAAGCGCCCTATGATGTCCTAGTCCCCCCTTGACAAAAGCGCAGCAGCTGACGGCCCGAAACCTAGGAAGCCTGCTCCCAAGTTGCTGGTGCGCGTTAGGCCCGCGAGGAAGCGCTTGCGGCAAGGGCAAGGGAAGGCGCTGCCCATGCGAGGTTTGCTCGGTTACATCGGTTACAAGAAACCCCAAACTTCTTTTCAAAAGCTTTAGAAATCCTCAGGCTCCGGCGTCGAGTTTTTGTGTGCTCACTGAAAGTGGTTGCGGGCTGGGCTAGGGGCTGGGCTAAGGGCTTATGCGGCTTAGGCCTTGGGGTCTTTGAGATGTTTAAGGCTTGGGGATTGGGCTTTGTGGCGCGAGAGCTGCCGAGTTGCTCATGTCCTCAAATGCAATGAACGTAACGCGCGTCTGTTGCGCCAGGTGCCGGGCAAGCAGACGCTGCAAACATGGTATATGGCAAGACGCAACGGTCAACCTATCAAATTGTCAAACACTACGCCCCCCCGACCTCCAATGGGGGGGGGGGGGGGGGAGAGTTTTTTGGAAGAAGATGTGAGAGGGAAGTGAGCACCTGGAGCCTAACGTCAGTTGTGTCCCACTAAGCCGTTCTTTAGAAGCCTCACAACAATGTGACAAAGGAGAGTTTGTTGGGCTTCTTTGGGCTTTGGGGAACTTAGGGCTCTGGGCCTCAAGATCCAGGGCGCCGATCCTTGAACCGTAGAAGGTCCCTAGAAGCTTAGGGGCGCCCTACCAAGGGAACAGTAGCAGAACATCCCCACTACTCCAGCTCATTTTTCCCCGACCAATGCTTTTTGTGTGGCAGGGGGCTGGGGAAAAAGCACCAAAGATCTTGAGGGCCGAAGGTTAACAGTACTGCCGCAAAAAATGCTCTGACCCATGCAGAGGGTGCTTGTGCAACCATAATAATGTCTCAGGGCTTGGGCCACAGGCCTGCCGGACAGCGAATGTGCTCCGAGCAAACCGCCCAGTGCACGTATCACCACCTGCCGGGCTGCAACACGGATCTGCGGGCCCGACACCTTGAATCCTGAACTGATGAAAGGACCTACGACTGTGAAACCTAACTACCCTCAGGCGCAGGGAGTTGTTATGGCTTTTTGGTTTAGGTCTAGGGGTCGAAGAAGGTTGGGGGCCCATGAGGTCATTAGGTGGATGCTGTGAACTCAACATGGGCCTGCCAGGCCGTGAACCTTAAACAGCCTGAAACCTTACCTCCTTGTACAACGTCTTACATCCTCGTACATCCTGTTGCATATTCTTTACACTCCGTTACATCCTTTTACTCGAAGCCAAGAGCCTCGAAGACAGATATCTCCCGGTCTGCAGTATCAAAGTCCAGGTCCCTCTCCACGAAGGCCAGCCCTGCCCATCAGGAAGCCCGGAAGGGGGCGCAGTTGAGCTTACAAAGCAAGCTTTCTACAGGTTTGTGATACGGATCACATGGCGGGATAGAGGCCGCAAGACGGCCTGCACAAAAGCCATGTGCTGGCACTGGATGGCCACAAGCTAAGGGCATACGAGGTTCGGCTACATGATGATACGGGAGTGCCGAAGTCGTAGTACCGGAAGCCGAATAGAAACTCGCATCGGCGGAACACGCAGCCTAAGCCCCCCAGACCCTGAGCCCCTTTATCCCCTGGGCTCCTCAGCTCTAAACTAGAAGGACCTCACCCCTTCAAACTTCCAACTGAGCTCACGCGATCCTTCGTCGAACTCACGCCGCAAGCCCATCAGCCACAGGGTCGTCAGAGAGTCGATGATGGTCATGCCGATGTTCCCGAAAGTGTCCTTGCCTCACACTGAGAGAATTGTCAGGACTTGGGTTGCGAAGCCTGCTGTTTCCTTCATCAGTAGAATGGAAGAGGCTCTGTTTCTCTGTAGCTTCTGTAATCTGTAGTTCTCAACTAGGAACCTTAGCCATGTAGAACTGGATCTATTTAGAATCTACTTCCCCCGTTACTATAGGGGGGAGAATCCCAATGAAGACAAGGCACACATGCACATGATTTTCACGTTTCCAAGAGGGCTTGGCGATTCAGCCCTCAGCTTCAGCGCCGCTAGGCCCGCTAAGCATGGCATAGGCCACGGTATGGCCGGGGGCAACAGGAACCTCACCCCAGCTGTGGTATGCCTTCTCGCTCGAAAACAGAGTTAACCTGAGGGAACACGCAACAGAATCTACCGACAAAAAGGCCCTCTCCGCCCGACTCCAACCCCAAAGGTTACAAACCCCAACATCCCTAGACACTCCGCAGGCATTCCTCCAAAAGTTCCAAACCCCCCCCCAACAAAAACAAAAAAACACATACTACTACAAGCACGACAAGCAAGAGCGAGCTTCACAAGGCCTTCCAGCGAGATGGGCTTCAACTCGTCCGAACCCCAGGCGTGGCCTAGGGTTTGCATGGGTGTAGATTTTGGGGTTTTTGGGGTTTTGGGAATGTTTGGGAATGTTTAGGGTGTAGGGCACCAACATATGTAAGTGAGTGAACAGAGGAGGGTTGGGTGGCCTTCAGGCATCGCTCAGTAGCACGCTCGGATATACGAGAGTAAGCGCTGCAACTCGTTCAATGAGATTCAAGGCTCTCAGGCCTCTAGGAGTCTTAGCTTCTGGTGGTACCACACACAGTACTCCACGTGCACAGACTGCGCTTTGAAGAGCTTGGCAGGGAATTACATGTACCTTAGGTACCTGGAGTGCTTCGGGAAGTTCAAGGACCTGGAGAAAGCCGCCCTAAAACCTCGAGGCAAGATGGGAAAAAAAACCCCAAAAAAGAACCAGTAGCTTTCTCTTGCCTCACCAGAAGCAGCCCTGGGAAGGTTCGGTCTCCAAAGTGTTCCCTTCGAAGGCAGGCTTGAGTCTTGTAGTGGCATCTCAAGCCAGGGGGCGCTTGTATCCTGACCAGGCATGCAAGAAGGCTTCGCGCACTTCGCCAGCCAACACCTGCAAAGAGCGCAGAAAGGGTGGAGAAGCAGTTGTGGTGAGGGTCTCAGGCTTAGGATTCTGGACTGAGAGCCTTCAGCCTGTTTGGGCTTGCGGCGTCAGAATCTCCAGGCTGTTGCCTGCCACTTGTCGGACTTCTCGGACTTGTCGGACGCAGGAGTAGCTGAACCTGCCACACAAGCCAAAGTGCTCAAACCCTCTTGAACTATGAGCACTGGGAACTCAACCTTTCGGGGCACACGCAGCGCTGGCAGCGCTGCTCCTATGAAGCTCAGCCTTGAACCACAAATGCTGGATGACAGTGTCAAAACCCATGAAACGATTTGAAACGAGGCTTTGAGCTGTCGGGACCTGTGCATCTAGGGGCTGCGGGCCCTCCTTTGAAAGACGACTCATCCAAACCTTGAATATGGCACAGCCGCCAAAACAAACCCTGTCCTTGGAAGCTGGACTGAGAGTCAGATGGGTCAGCGAAGTGCAGCTGCCTTGGGCTTGAGTTTGAGGATTGGGGATGTTTAAACCGCTTCGGATTCAGCAGCCACAAAAAACCCACTGCAACCTCCAACAAGACGTTCGCCATCGAGACACGCAGCCGCCTGCTGCCCAGGGCTGCCTGGGCCACCTCGACGTCGGGGGGGGGGGGGGGGGGGGTGGGAACAGGCTGGGCTTTCTCACACCACCCGAACCCTTGGCATTACTTCCACACGCCTCACACCTTCCTGGACCTTCGGCATGACCGACCCATAAGTCCCTATCCTGATGATGCTCACAACTCCTAAGCCCCTCAGTCAGCGGTCTCTCTCAGGCAGAAGCTAAAAGGCTCCAGCCACAGAGAGGCTGTGCCGGCCGACGTGCCCCGCACCAAGACGATGGCCTACTCTCTGCTCCCGACTGTGTTAAGGGGCAAAATGGAGGGATGCTTAAGCCTTAGGTAAACGAAGTATCACCAATCAAAGTTTCCACCCATCCCCTCCTCCCCCCCGCCGTTGGGAGCACTGCCGGGGAGCACTGTCTAGGGTCTACTGAAATCTGACAAGCCCCTGAGACTATCTCAGACGGTCCTTTGTCTTTAGACAAAGAGGCCGCTTAGATAGTTGCGAAAGGTTACACAAATAATCCGATATCTTGTTTGGTCGACGTCCTGCAAACAGGTGGGCCCCAGTACAGGCCCGTGCTTTTGGATTGTTGGTGCTTTTGTAAGAGCATCATGATGCTTCCTACCATATTTTCCAAAACCAAGACAAAGTGAGGAAGGAAGGGCAGGGAAAGAGAGACGGATAGAGAGATAATTCATTCATTCATGAACTCATGAGACGCTTAACATGTTAGAAACACTTTGCGAGGGAACCCTAAACGCAAACCTCTGCATCTCCAACCTGTGAAGTCCCCAAACCTTTGTTTTGTAAGGCGCCTCGCCCTGGGAGTTGCTGGCAAAGCGGCCGCCAGGGCTCAGAACTTCAAGACGCCTGGCATCTCTCAAAATCATTTAAGACAACATGCTCAGAGCAGGCAGGGGTGGGGGGGGGGGACAGCGGGTGGCGTGGGTCCATGTGGATTGGGGGCTTTTTTGGGCTTTGGGGCTTCTGAGGCGCTTGTAGCCCGGATCCAGCCGTGCTGCTGCGTTGCATTTCGGGGGCAAAGACCCGTGTAGCACCAAGGCCTGTCATCTGAGCGAAGGCGTAAGCTGCCGCAGTTTGTACCTCCAAGCGTTGTGCAGAGAAGCTTTCGCCGTGCTTTCACCACCCTATAACACCCGCAGACCCCGGGACAAATTGACAGGCTCTCCGCCTCCATCTGGCGCTTGAAGGACGACCTGCCAAACGAGGGTTTAGGGTGTAGGGCATTGTAGGGTCTTGAGCCTTTGCTTTTTGATGTTCGGTCTGCGGGGTTCAAAGGCTTGAAGTGCAGTGTCTGGAGCAATCGTGCTTTTGTATTTTACCACGCGTAGGTGCTGCAGGAGTTTGAGGTGGAAGGTGTACCACATACAATTATTGTAATGGAGCAACCCAAACAACCATAACAGTACCATCAACCCGTGAAATCTCCAAACGCCCAGTGGAGCTGCATCTAACTTCCAAAGACCTGCGCAACAGAAAAACAAAACCAGGATTGGACACACCTGATATCCCGAAGCGCCGCTCATCCCTACTCAAACCTTGGGCTTGAGAGTTTCAGGCTACGCCTTGGACACGGCCGAATTAGGGGCCTTAATAATTAAAAAATAGGCTTTTGGGGGGTGATTATAGATATGTTTATAGGGATCATAAGGGAATGCTACTAATAACCATTCCGACCCCCCATATTCAGCATTCTCCATAGCGCCTCAAGCACCACCAAGGTCGGCCATCGCAAGCCAAGATCAGTGAGGTTGCTGGATTGAAGGGGCCGAACGGTTTGACCTGGCGCAGGGTTTCGGGCTTGGGGGGTTCACGGCTGAAGGGCAAACAAAAACTGAGGATTCCTGGCCGAAGTGCAGAACGAGGGCGTGGTGCAAGTTCAATTCACTTTGAGGGGTTTAGGACACCCTTCTGCTACACAGGCCAGCGGCTTCTCAAGTCTTGTGATTCAAGAGCTGCAGCAGCGGCTACGTCCAAATCAAAGAATCTATCGACGTGTTGAGGCTTCTCCGAAAGCTCTCTTGCTGTTGTGGGGGGTAAGCGTTTTTGCGTGAGGGAGATCTCGGACCCCAAAGCCTTTAGATTAGCAGCGACGAGGAGCACCCCCTCAACTTTTCAAGCCAGCGAATCAAATGATTTCGGGTCAAAAGCCGGTCCAAAAAACTCAACACCTTGGGTTTAGGGAGTCTGGGATTCTTTCCTGAGGAAGCCTTTTGGGATTGGGGTTGAGACGCCAAGGCTAAGCGTCGGGCGTCGATTGGAGAAAGTTGTCAAACCCTGGGAACAAGGGACGGCACATTGAAAGCCCCTGACTGCACACAGTGTTGAGGGTTCTGTGCTGCACAGGCCTGCATCAACAACCGCACTAATCTGCAGGCAAGCCGCCAGCGGACGAACTCCAAGCTGCAGCTGACCTAAACGCAACATGCAGAGGGGGGAAGGGCGACAAAGAACCAAGGGTTTTAAGACTTCTTGACATCGCTTTCAAGAGGGTCGCCCTGACAACGATCTTTTTTCCAAGCGCCGCTTGAAAGACTGATGTCACCACAAAAGCCTCAAAGACTTCTGCAGACCCAAAAAACGCATGCCTCCCTGCGCTTCCGATACTGACAGGCCATGATCCCGTTAGCAAGGATTCTGAGGCAGTTGCCGGACACTGCTGGGGCAAAGCGTATGCGCGACCTGGTGTGGACGGTTGAAGCTTTAGGATCTGCCCTGAACTGCTGCTCGACACTCTTCCCATTAGCCTCGGCTAGCTCAGGTGCTGACCGGTGAGACAATGTTCCGACAGTGCGCCCTTCCACATGAACCTTGGTAGCAAATGCTTGGAGTCTCTTTCGTATTGATTGCCGCTTAGGTCGAATTCTGTCCTCGTCGGACGAGTCGTACAGGTTACTTCAACCCTTCGAGGCCACGGAAGAGGAAATTCGCCTCGGCTTCCTGCCGAGAAGCGTCTGGAACAAGCAGACCCGGATCGGGCCTCCTTCCCCGGAACCCAACCCCTTGCCAAATTTTCTGACGCAACCCCACCCCCAATCCCTTGCAGGAGCTGCAAACCGATGCCGTGGAGTGGCTCCTACAGGGGGAGTGCCTCAAAAACCCCCCAAAAACCCCCCCACCCCACCCCCCACCCCCCCCAACCCCCCCCCCACCCCCCCCCCCCCCCCCACCCCCCCCCCCCCCCCCCCCCCCCCCCACCCCCCCCC